ACTGCCAGTAGACGCCCCCCCCCCCCCGATCTGAAAAGCCGAAAGCTCGTTGGGTCCACCAGCGGATCGTCCTTTGCATTCATTGCCAGGAGAGGTACTTGTACGTGCTTCCTGAGAGCAAAACACTCGAATTCGTAACAACGTTACAAGCTTAAGCCAAATACCTTTGCAATTTCAGCAGGGCGTGATCTGTCTTCGCCAATGGCAAGAAGACCAGAGCTTGTTCTGAGCGGGTCGATGCGGGCGGCTGCCCGCTGGGGATTCTCACCAGTTTAGGAACCTGCATGAAGTGGTCTTGAGACAAGGAACTCAACACTACGGCCCCAGTATAAACATATGGCTCAGAATTGAGTAATCCTCGGATTTGGGGCTTCTGATCTTGATGCGCGCTTTCGCGGGCAAAGCGTACCACCGACCCTTTGAACTCCCTGCTCGTGCAAGCCAGGGTGCAAAAAGCGCATGGATCCCTGAGTCCGGTAATAGTCCAGCTTGTCTTTGAAGCCGTACCTTGGGCTAAGATCCGACATCTACAAGACAGAGCCAGTGCACAGCTTCGACTCCGGAGCTTAACAGACGCCGCGGGAGTTCAGAAAGAGACGGGCGAGACACTCGGTGCTATCAGCAGCAAGGTAGTTCTCACGGGGCTCTGAGACCGACAACAAATTCTAAGTCCCTGCTGCCCTCTGCTTTCCGTCACCGAGTAATTACGTGATTTGGTACTGTAAGTATCTCTCAGAAAGTAGAGGCACGCCGGAACGATCGCAGCCCAGCAGCAGCAATACAACAAATTACATGATGGTAACCGCTAGCGGATCACACTTACCATCCCCGTATGCATAGTCATAGTCATTGCCGAAGCCATCTGGACCATGAACAGGCATGTGATTGTCATCACCACCATCATCGTCTTCGTCTTCTTCTATCTCGTATTCACCAGCAGAATCACACGAACCATACATAGCTACTACGCCGTACAAGTAAAGGGGCCTCAATCATTAGATTAGGGTGTTGGGGTATGTCCTGCAAGCTCTTCAGTTAATTTTATCAGGAAGTAATCTCACCAATTGTTAAGGCCCCCAGATTGAAACTTTGTTCCATGTTTCAGCCCTGCCACAGGGGGGCCACACACGCGTCGTCAAAGTCACCAATGGTCTCTGCCTGCAGCGTCTTCTCCAAGTCGTAGGGCACCGGCTCCCCTGAATCAGGACTCAAGATTTGCTATTGTGTTCAGGGAGTGTCTTTGGGTTTACGGTTGCTTTTGCGTTTTGGGTTTCCAGTGTAGGTCGTGTGAAATTCAGTAGCAAGGATTCTTTGTGGGTCGTTTGCTTCAGCTCGGGCCAAGCGGAGGTACCTGGCCGCTTGCTCTTGATCGTGGCGAGTAGCACACCCACAGCTGTGCATGATCACCTATTCGCAGTATCTGAATGAATCATAGCCCGAGGGCTAGAAATCCGAAACAAGCATGTCTGTCAGCGCCTCTCGCTTTCAGGATCTCAGCTTTCGCTTGCGCTTTTGGCTTCAGCGACTTCCTCACATGTGGCACATGCAGCTTTTCCATGCTTTTCAACAGTCGGAGAGGTAGGCTGAAGAGCTCTTCGGGATTCGTGTTGGTCAGCTCTTTCGTGGGACTTGCAGAGGTTCAAAAAGTGATCAAAGCCTTGAACGGTTCACAAATGTCAATATGTCTATCTTTGTAATTAGGAAGTGCGGCTGATACTGCTATATTCTGCTTAGCACCGGCAACCACAGCCATGCTTATTGCTAGTATTCGCTGTAGTCTATGATTTGTGGTGCTTGTTAGACGAGGCTGTAGCATCAGGGGTGTGGAATCCTCAATCACCGTGGGATTTTCATGACATTTTGGAGTACAGCGAGGCGCAGTGTCTCGGACTTCGGATTTTCATGTATCCAAAGATCAAGCCGGCTTGGCACACTTTCAAAGCCACAAGGCACTTCAACAGGCTAATGTAGGGGCCTTGTTTTACTATGTTTAAATAATGAACCCCCAAAACTGTATAGGCGATTATTAAGACCCTATATTAGGGGCTCTCTTCTTGGAGCGCACCTGGTGAATGTCGGGCCGGTCTGTGTTCACAAACGCTAGGGCGTTTGCCCGCGAGTAGTACTTGTTGGGAGATAGAAACGGCATTTATGCATTCGGTCATGCATTCATGCAGATTTGAAGTTTGTCGAGCTGTGTCTTAGCCAGGTAGGCTTTACTACAATGACAATGACGACTGCTACTACTGCTTTATTGTTGCTATTCCTGCTGCTGATACTGCTGCTGCTGAGGTTAATATCATCAAGATATCCATCAGGTCTTCATCAAAAATCATGAGAGCAGGATAATTGTCATTGTCGCTATGGTCATGGTTCTCTTGTTCCTCCTTCTCCTCATCCGCCTCCTTGTGAATCTCCTCTGATCAGCATCATCACCCTCAGCATCAACGCCAGCAACAACCATCATCGGCATCACTTCATCATCGTCGTCACCAAGACCCTCAATGCCATCGCCATGGATCATCATGATCATCAGCATCATCGTCATCATCATTATCGTCATCGTCGTCGTCATCATCGTCATCATCACCATCATCAGCAACCTCATCGCCATCGACGTCGCGGTCGTCGTAGTCACTGTCTCTTCGGCATCTTCGTCAACACCCGCATCAGCCGTAGGATTGGGAGGAAGCCCGGGTTGGATTAGTAGAGGAAAGCTTTCTGGAGATGTCTGCACCCGAGAGACAGGAAGTTCCATGCGTAGAGGCGTCCTTGGCAGCCGACCCGCAAGAGATCTCAAAAGAAGTGTTTAGTGTTTCGGCTCGAATCTGATCCCATCGCCTTCGCTTGTCGGCAGGTTTAGCGAGGCCAAACATCACAGGTCGAATACTTCTTGCTTATGTGCTCGTCTGCTGCGCTGCTTCTTGCGTCGTTGTGCTCCGAACCTGCTGCAGCAAAGCTTCCCATGCCATCATCCATGGCGGCAGAGCACACCTTCAAGGGCTTTACGACCTTCTGCTGAAAGCATCGGTGGAAGGTGGGCCAAGCTATCCGTACGACTCGCACAGGTCAAGAGCTTCAGCCCTCACTTCCTTGACAAATCCTCGTGAATCTTCGCAACACCGTGAAACAAAAGAGGAAGCAGCAGATCCCCAGGTGCCCAAACGTCATCCACCAGCCGCACGGCCAGAAGCCAAGCTGACCCGCCTCTGGCATGAAAGGAACGCTGCAAACGGCCGCGCCCTTGATACCCAACGAAGCCACGTCCTGGCCACGGGCTGTCGTTCAAGCGTGGTGTGACTTCTGCCTTCCGAAAGATGGTTCAGGACCTTTCTCTGTCTGAGCATTTAAATTCTCCCACAATTCACGCGGTGGTCATCGCGTGTCCTCCCCAAGCTCGCCAAGCAATTTGCAGATGGCGTTGCCTTTCGGAAGCATTGCATCTCCGGGTAATGTGTGACAGAGCCAAGCCAGCTCCGAAGCAGGCTGCCTCCCAAAGAGAAGCCCGACAGGAAGATCTGCCGCGACGGGGAGGTATGCAGCTCCCTGCAGAGCTGCACTAGGTCGTCGGTAAAGCCTGTCTGAGCCGCGGAGGCTTAGGATCTGACTTGTGACTGGTGCCTCATGCTCTCAAGCCGAACACGCAGCAACCCAAGCGCTGAGTCGTATATGCCACGAGCACGAGCACCGCACCGGTTGCGTACACCGTCCTATACGCATTGTAAACCCTAACCCCCCCCCCGCCCTCCCCACACTCCTCAGTAAGCGCAGCCGAATCCCAAGACCTAAAGGCGCCGAGAGTTGTAGAGGGGTATAACACGGATGCCGACAGTATCACGGTAAGCGAATATATCAGTACTACATCAGAACAGTTTGAAGATTGTCCGGCTATACAAGCCACTCAACAACAAGGTCCTGCCTACGTTGTAGAAGCCGGCTGTCCGATTCATCTCCTGAGTGCTCTGCATTACAATGGCTCGCAGGCAGGAAACAAGAAACAGTGATGCTGTGACCACACGATAGAAGCGCTCAACGTACTGCGGTCGGTTGCTCTTGGAGCCTCTGTAGACAGCAGCCAGCAGCCCTATCGGAGATCCGTGCAAGAGGTGATGGCTTCTGGGATGCCAAGCGGCTCCAGAGCAAGATCTGAAGCAAAGCCTCGTGATCGGATTCCCAAACATTTTTGGATCTTGGGGGGGACTTTCTGGATCGGCAAGTCAGGATGTCGAGTCCGAGCATGCAGATTAGTATGTGAGGACTCCAGGTGACACTCGATGTGACAGTCATTTGTCCGAGCTTATCCTTCGCCAGAGCGTAATGGCCATGGCTTTGAGTGCTTCGCCGTCACGCAAATAGTTCAAGCCTGCGAGCCTGTGCCTGCAGCAGCAGTCCCGGAACCTGAATCCAACTTCAGGTAAAGATGCTAAGATCCCGAGTCATTGCGCATCAGTAGTTGCGCAGCTCCGGGTACTTTCAGGACTTGAGGGTTTTGAGTTCGAGGCTGGGATCAGGGCACCTCTGAAGTCCATCGCAAGTAGAAACAGCGACCCTTGACAGAAAAGGCGCGGCACCCCTGGAAAGCTTGGACGCCACGCGACACAGCCACGTCGAAGCCCTCGCTTTGGAAGGCGCGCGCCAAGCGGCAGCCTAGCTACTGTACTCGCAGATGCTTCGACTGCGGAGTCATCTGTCGTGCTAGCATCAGTGTCCTTAACAATCTTATACCTCAACATCATTCCGATAACAGCATTTGCAGAGACATGCAAACTCTTGTAGCAGGTAGCCAAGGCGCAGAATGGTGTGCGGGAGTTGCTTTCCAGTCCGTGTAGCAAAATCACCTAATTCCACTTCAAGACAGGCCATTGAAAAGGTCACATCTCTTCCTGTCTCTGTCTTGCCAAGATTGCAAAGCCGAAACTCCGATAAACTCCGACGCCTTTCGCTAGCGCCTCGAGCCTTCACAATTCGAAGTCGACTTTCGGAAGTACCGAAATCCAGGCAGCACCCTCACCCAGACTAGTGAAGAAACCCTCAGAGGCCAAAGCCTGATGCAAGGAAAACCCCGGGTCCCGGGCCCTTAAGATCGATCCCCGAGTCACCACTGGTCGCTCCGACGTGATGGCACCCACGGCAGGACCAGCCGCAGCTGTGAAGTCGACGTCCTCGGGGAGTACTGAGCCGACAAGGCCAGGCTTAGGCCCCGCGGCACATGACCCGAAGGACCTCCATGAGGCTTGGAATACAATGGGGCTATTTTAGCGACTTTGGGCTGCAGATCAGATGACGCCAAGGTGTCAGTGTCTTGAACCTAGCTGACATCCAGATGTGCCTCGCTGTTGCACAAACTACATCAGCCTGTGTATAGCCCAGAATACGCCATGTTGATGCTCAGGCGCTATGGATGGCTTCGGCTTTGCAACCTCGATCCCTGCGGCACAACATAATTTGCTAAGTGTCGAAAAAATCACCATCCGGAGTGTCGTAGCGCTCACCTCGACTTGCTGCTTGATGCTAGTCAGAAGTGGAACATACGGATGCTGGTGGGTCCACGTATTGTCACCTGCACCTTCGAACTTCACACTATACAGTGTGCGTGCAACGCGAACAGCGCAGTCTGTAATCATTAGATCTGTGTAGGAGGTAGTTGCTTTCAGGCGCAGTTTGGGATCGAGAGTCGGATTGACCTGCTCTCCAGATCTGAACCAAAATGTCCTGGAAACTCACGGGCTGCCATGTTGCGGTGTGTGTCCAGCCCCTGCGGCAAAGCGTCTGGCCTCCAGTGGCAAATCTGAAGAGCTTATAATGCACCTGCTTCACTCGGGTGGCCGAAGGTCGCTGCTCGCTGCATGCTGCCACGGCGCCCGAACTTATATAGAACCTCGGAGCCCAGGATCGTCATGACGTGCTGATTGAGCGCGAACGCTGCTGGCCTGAGAGTCAAAAGAGAACGCATTGCAGATCTATGCGAGACCAGTTGAACAGCATGGATGCTTGCATCATGCAGGCCGTCATGTCGCATACCGAAGAGCTATGCAGGGTGGTGGCTACTTCCAGTAACAGCTTGCAGCCGATTGCAAGAAGGCCACTGGCTTACATATAGCCTTGAGCTCTGATTGCGCTCTGCAGCAGTATGCTTCGGAAGAAAGAGCCACGGCCTTCTTGTCCATAACTGCGAACCATTGCCATGCACTGCACTGGCCCCATCTATGAGTTGGGAGAATGCAAGATGCGACATGTAGATGGGAAGCCTCATGAACACAGCACTTGTTCACCATAGTTCGAGTTGTCGGCTGTTGTCGTCAAGCTGCGAGAAGGGCTTCACCCGAAAACTGCCTGGGACACACAGCCGAAACTTCAAGTATTTCTCATGCTCTAGGGACTGTCTCTCTTGCCTCCCTCATGCACTGTCGGAGCTAGCCGAAGCATCCGCGATCTTCTCAACTACTGACTCCGTCAACGACTAGCTAGCCACCAGCCGTTGAAGGGTGGGAAATGTCGGCACATGCCGACGAAGCAAAGAAGATGAGGGATTCACCAACGTGTGGGGGTGCTGAAAACCTAGTTTTCGCCTGGCTTAGGACAACCTTTCGTTGTTCATCGGTCGGATCTTCTTTATATTATAGACTGAAGGAAGTGCCGAATGCATCTGGTAGGCCCCTCAGCCCCAAAGAAAGCTCGCAAGTGTCCATGCAAGTACCAGATCAGTGACTACTGGGCAAGAGCCAAGCAGCTGATGATGGATGCAGACTTCTGCAGCATGCTCCGCACTCTCAGCGCGCTCCTCGCCTGCAAGTCCGAGACATCAGACCCCAGGGTTGTGGGGCCCATTATACTATAGTTATAATAAGGAACCCCCCAAAATAATATAGGCAGTTATTAAGGACACAGAAGAACAGGAATGTCACCATGCGACAGTGTGGTGAGGCAGCACGAACTGAGCCAAAACCCAGGTGCCTTTCCACGGCTGCGTGAAGCTGGCCTGGCAGGGCACCACGTGCCCTTAGTCGTATGGGATTTGGGCTTGAAAAGTGCAGTTTAAATCTTCGTGGCTGTTTGCCTTAGCTGCTTCGAATAGCGGGTGGCATTCTGCACCTCAATCTCCTTCATGCAGCAATCCTACGTGCACGCCGACGGGCACATTATCCCTAAGAGCACATCTGCAACCCTTAAAGCTGCGCATCTCCAGCCCAAACGTAGGAAGAAATCTTGAAATCCTCCTCCACTCTAAGTACAGTACCTCGAGCATTCGCAACCTCAGTCCGGACACCTGAGCACTCGAAGCTCACCCCCCACCCCGGTCAAAGTTCCGTGTCCCTCTGTTGAAAGCCTGCCGACCGCGAACGTGCCGAGACCAAAGGCAAGAGAGATCTGAGCCTGGGAAGAAGTTGGAAGACAGCTCCAAAGCCACGGTAGCTAGCATTGCCAGCATTGCTACCACGTGCTACCGCCTTCGCCTTCAGCTTCGGTCACAAGCACCAAGTCCTGTCTCAGTGCCCAGCTGGACCTTGGCAAAAACCAAGAGCTCAGCCAAGAGGCAGCTCGAGGCATCGCGGGAAGCCGACCGACGGCCGAGCCAAGCAATTGCGGCCTGAGGGCTCCCAAGGACTCTCTTGGGTATAGGGTTTCGGCTTTGGGGGCTTTGGCTCCTGGGGGACAAGTAATCTTTCATGGTTTGCTTTGTCACCTTGCCGTAGCCTGCTTAACATCATCTTGTGCCGTTGTGATGCTCGGCTTTGCGAGTATAGGGTCACATTGGTGTGCTATGCTGCTTTCATACGAGACCTTTAGCGAAGCGACAGCTTGTTGTGTCCTTATTGCCTCATACTGCCGAAAACTAGTCACTACATTCAATTTTTGGCTATGATACTATCATCCCATCACTATCTCGCCCATGTCACTGTGCTTGCACAGCAGTGTTAGTCCATTATGTTGCTGTGCTTGTGCTGGCCTCCAGGACATCTGTGGCGAGGTGCAGCGCTGCCAGCATTGGCGAGGGGGTTGTGCGACGGAAAGCATGGCAAATGAGGTTCCCCGTGCTTCTGAAGTCAAGCTCGTAGGCTGGAAGGGGGAGAAAAAAGCTCCCTTTACAATGCTAGGTTGGCGAGGTCGAAATGCAAAATAGGCTAGATGCAAATTCTAAGTGGCAGGCCCACCTGTGCCAGAAAAGTTCACGGAACAGAATCAACATCTGATTAACACTGCTGCATGATGGAACGAATATGACTTGCGTGAAACGCATCTTTCCATAACATTCGCTTAAAGTCGTGGGTCCAAGGCGTTACCATTAGCAATGCTAACATCACAGTTGGAACACCACTAGTGTATCTGCGATCTGGTTCTGTCCAGCGCAATTGCCCTTAGTCCTGCGTTACTCTCCCCGAGCAAGGCTTTTCGAGTTCATTGCCGGGTGATGGTGCAGTTTCAGTTAGTCAGAAGTCTCCGACTCAGAGTCTATCGGCCGTGCAAGCAACATGCTCTTCTGGGGCTGAGATTACAAATCCAGTTCTCGCTGCACCGCATGTTTCGACAGCATGGCTTTGCAGACGAGTCTGTGCAGTGAAAGATGGGAACACCAGCGCTACTGCCCCATTCGTGCGACTTGAAGCTACTACGAACCTGGAACAAGCATATGCTTGCACGGCCTGTCTTCCGACTGATCCGCACTTGTGCAAGTGTGGGGCATGTCGGACTACTCGTGTCCCGCAAACACAGCGATTTTCCGCGCTGTGGTGAACGAACGAGCTAAACCAGGTGTTACGACTGATACGCTGCGAACTCTAGCCATTGGACCGATTCTTGAGAACAAACGCTTCGAAAGTCCCGGCAAGCGGGTATCATGAGCGTAGGTGAGAGCTGCTCTGTCTCAAACGCTTCCGCTTGCAGGAAACTGCTCACTCGGCGCTTCAACTCCGAGACTCAGTGCTGGGAAAGAAGGCTTCATTTCCAAAGCCACTATGTGCTAAAGCCCATACTTCCTAGGCAACACCTATATCATGCAACTTGGACGGTCACTTGAGTTTCAGAATGTTTCAGAGAAGCAGTGAACATGAGCCTCCTAGTGTGACGCCTCTGCAAGTCGCTGCGACTTTGACTAATGGGACACAGGTGCCCAAGGAGTCTTCTGTTCCCTGCAAGCCAGGCCATCGGGTGTGCCATCATTTGCCGAACGGTATAGCTGCACAATCCTGCGATCTGAGCTTCGAATGTCACAATTTGTATGAGCCTTCTGGGACTCTGCTCGTCAGGAGATGAGTTTCAGGGCATCTTAGCCTTGACGTATACTGCGTCAAGCCAGCAGTCGTCCACGAAAAACGTGCCTCCTCACCCCTCACGCCCTCTTGCTGGGGCATGCTTCGAAGCTCATCGCCAATGAGTCGTGAATCGATCGACTGGCATGGTATCTGGCTCCACGTCACTTGCTTAACGAGAGCTGACAGTTTTGGGTTTTGTTCTCTTCTTGCTTCCGATCGCGCCAGAAACCCGAAACATCGGTGCTGTACTCGGACCCTTCGGGGTTCTCAGGGAGCAACTTGGGCATCGAGTCGAACGAATCCCCACAAGATTCTTGACGTCGCCATGGAAATATTTGTTACTGGGGGATCAGAATCTTTCAGAATGCCCGCTTGGAGTTGGTTGAGCGTCCCGCGTGCAAAGGATCTGCTCTTGGCTGGCTAGTGTGTGAGCAAGAAAACTCTGCATAGTTGAACAACGGCCCACCTGACCCTGAACACTGCGTCTCACATTGTCGGTCTCTCTCACGCGTAGACGAACAGAAGGTACTCGTGGCCACTGACAAAAGCAAGTAAACATTTATCGACACGGGACATCCTGCACCTAGTTCAAGCCTAGGTTCAACATGCTTCAACCTAGTCAGGACAATGCGTATCCGCTTGACAGCTCATCTCTCGAACCGCTACGCATCCGTCCAAGATCCTGTCATGCCGTGTAAGCTCTAGATGCTTTCACCGGACCCCTCAGCCAATCAGCAAAAAGCAAGAGGCATCCACTTGCGATCAGTGCTTAGCGGCCGCCGATCCTGCACCAAGAGCAGCAGAGGTGTTTTTGAAGCTTCGGTGTTGCATTGACAGGAGTCAGTGGGGGACTTCAGGTCCAAAACCTTCGACTTGATGGCTTCTTGTGGATCAAGGAGGAACTCCGGGCTTAGGGGCTGCGTCTCTGACACCAGGTGAAGCACAGACACGGCACCCGGTAACATCCCTGAGCGCTATTGATGCCCGCGCTGCCAATGACATGCCCAGTGTTCAGGCTATGTCATAGAGTCGCATTTGAACGATATTGTTGCTTTAATTGCCAGGCTTTAGATGCAGCTTGTTTCTCAGTACCGCGCATTCTGCATGCGAAAGTGTCCCCCTGTATGGGTACGTGCGCACGCGCGCGGGCGCGCGGGTGTGAGTGTGTGTGTTTGCGTGCGGGTGCGCGCGTGCGTGCGTGCGTGCGTGCGTGCGTGCGTGTGTTTGTCAGCCTGCCGGCTGTCGGCTGTCAACATACAGACGTTCGCGTGCGGTTGCATCTCTGCGCATCTGTGGCTACATGTCCTTCGGGATGTGTACACGAACCGGATGAGGTGGTATCACGGTGTTCATGACGACAGCGATTTAAGGACCGCGGGCTCAATCAAGACTCCGACCTGCAGGAGTCAAACAAAAGCCAGGTCCTTGTTGCATAGTACTACCGTTGTTGCGGTCCTTATATAAGCCCTGCTGCTTACCCAACGCTGGTCTGGTATGTTCTGGTAGTGCTGGTGGTTCTGCTACTGCCGTGGTTGCCATGTTACCACTGTTTCTACTACTCCTACAAACAATGATGCCAGACAAGAAAAAACGGCGACCATCATCGCTATGATGCCCATATCAACCAGAACAGTCATATGGGCAATCACCGATCCTGACCACGAATCAGGGATCCCAGCCGGCCTTGGAGGTTCGTTTTTGTTGGCGCCTCCTTGACAGCAGTTTCCTTTCTTCTGCTGTGCCTGGCACTCACAATGCTTGCTAGTCTTAGGAGGAGAAGAAACGGCCAGCGGAAGCAATCCGCGCGTTTCTGTTCTCGGAATGGTGGGCCTTGCAATGGAGGTCCTTAATCGTAGCTGTTGCAGTGGATTCCAGTGGTGGTGGTGCATATTCGAAGCATGCTGTGTGACAAGGCCTTTCCCCCATCTCACCCTGCGACAGACGACTCCCCAACTCCCAAGAAGGTCGCTCCATGAACTACTCTGATTTACTCCTCCCTTGATGCAACGGACGCAAACTTCTTCGGAAGAATGTCACCCATGTTGAACAAAACCCCGCACCTCACATCGGAAAGACCTGGATTGAAAAGGGCTCAGCCAGCTCTCACAACGCTGTCTACAGTGCCGAAGCTGCAAGCACAGCCGGTGGGACGCCGGGAGCACCCCCTGGCTGGAGACCTGAAGAACAGTCAGTTAGTGCCTACCTCTCATGGAAATGTTTTGTCAAGATGTCTTTCTTGGACGGGTTCGGGACGCTCACCAGAACACGGCGCGATGTCGGGTGATTTTTCTGCGATGTGCAGTCAGCCCATTGTGCCTGCTAGGCATGATCTGCTATGGCGGGCAAGGATGCTTGTCGAGATTTCGGCAAGCTAGATGAAGAGAGGCTCGATCCCTGATCGTACTAGAGCGGCCCTGTTTGTAGAGAACAGCGGGCTTGGCTGCGAACTGCAAGTCATCCGAAGGGGCCTTCGAGCCCAAGCCTCCAATCCGAAGCCGATTGAACACATAAGCCACGAAAGCCCTAAAAGGCCGCCCACAGCCTCCAAGACCCTCCGGAAATCCCACAGAAAAGCCACACCCCACCCAACCCAGACAAGCATGCATCCTCTCAGCCCGCCACCGATGCCGGAAGGACCAGCTGCAGACTTCGGCTGGGCCTTCTGTCTCCTCCTCCGGTCGATAATGAGGGTTTTAAGCTCTTATAGGGAGGGGGCAGTGGGTTTAGCAGAACCTGGAAGGACAAGGTGTGCAGCATCCAAAAAAGTCACATGGCGGGGACAGCCGCAGCCTCATTTCGACGAGGTTCTGCGCAGCAGTCAAGAACCTGCAGAATCTCACGGACTGGAGCGTGCCATCTCTCGATGTACTTCTGTTCCAACATAAGATTTGTGACGACTGCTCCAAGCTCACATCTAGAACTTCCAAAGCAATCAGGGATGTGGGGGGGGGGGGGGGGGTTGGCTTGAGGATGAGTAAGCACAGACTCTCAAAGTCTCAAACTCACATGTCTTGCAGGGAGTTTCGTAAGTAAAGCCTGGGCCATGTCTAGTCAAAGGGTCGCGGTGGAGAGCACTGCACCCCGTCTCCTTCATTCGGTAGATCTAGCTTGAAAATCATGTGTCGCAAGTCATCGATATGATCATCCAACGCATGCATTGTGTCGCAATCACCCCCCAAACAAAAAATGAATGGGGTCTTGTCGAGAGACGCC